AGTAGTTAGAACACCATGCATATAGTAATCTAGTCAGGCCCTGCTGGGGTCTGGCAAGTTAATTCCACCTGTTTCAAGGTTAGACATTTGGAGGCCTCAAACCCAACACCATCAGGTCATACTTGGGCCAGTCACAAGGCAAAACTGCTACCTTGAGGCCAAACCTAGCTGTCTTTCCTCAGTCCTCAACCTTTGTGATCAACCTTTGTGGTCTGTCTATTGTCTTTGACACTATTGATCATCCTCTCCTCTCTGGGTTTTCATGCTTTGTCCTGGCTTTTCTCCTTTTCAGTCTCCTTTGCTGGTCATTATTTATATCACTCTCTCTAAGTGTGGGTGTTCCCAAGGTTTTGTCCGAGGCCCTCAAAGGTTCTCTCTCATCTCACTCTCTATGACAACTTCAGATATTTCATACTGGATGTTCTCACAATCTCTCAAACTAAGCTGTTCTAAATGATAATTCATTCCCTTTTCCCTCAATCTCACCCTCTTTCACACTTCTCTGTTTTTGTTGAATGCACCACCATTCTCTCAGTCTTTCAGGTTTGTAACCTCAGCATCATTCTGGATTTCGCACTTTCCCTCACCTTATACTTACAACCAGTTTCCTGTTTTTACCTCAGCCATATCACTTGCATCTCACCCCTTTTCTTTATTCCACAGGGAGTACTTTAGCTCAAACTCTCATTACCTTACACCTAACCTATTGCAATTGTTGTTGTTTTTCATTCCTGTCCGACTCTTCATGACCCCATTTGGGGGTTTCTTGGCAAAGGTACAAGAGTGGTTTGCCATTTCCTTCTCCAGCTCATTTTACAGATGAGGAAACTGAGACAAACTGGGCTAAGTGACTTGCCCAGGATCACACAGCCACTAAGTGTCTGAGGCCAGATTTGAATTCAGGAAGCTATGTCTTCTGACTCCAGGACCAGTGCTCTATGCACCGCACCATCTAGCTGCCCCAAATACCATTGCAATGGTCTCCTCATTGGTCTTTCAAGTCTCTCCAATTCATTCTCCACACTGTTACCAAAATAATTCTTTTTGAACTCAGATATAATATAAATCACAATCATTATATTTATATAGCTTATAATATTCCAGACACTGTGCTAAGTGCTTTACAATTATCATCTCATTAAGATAATAGGATCATATTATTCTACTCAATTAACACTGGTGACTCCCTTTGTCTGTGCTTTGTCTTTATTTTATCAATTTAATTTTTGTTTTTGCTTTCAATTTTGTTAATTTTTTTCTTTCAGTTTTCAGAATTTCCACCTTGGCAGTTAGTTGGCAGTTTTTTACCTCTTGTTTTTTTCTATTTTTTTAAAAATAAAGTTATGTGTCTAATACATTGATTGGATCTATTTCTCTTTTAAAGCTTTTTAGAGTTTGGAGTAGTTCCTCTAAGGACTGCTTTAGCTGTATTCCACACATTTTGTTGTCATTTTTAAAAATAAAATTTTCTATTATTTCTGTGATTTGTTCTTTGACCTGTCACTTCTTATTTAGTTCTCAATTTTTTATTCTTTGTTCAAAGGCCTTTTACTGAATAAAATTCTTATTATATTATGATCAGTAGAGGATGTGTTACATATTTCTGCTTTTCTGCATTTGCATGTGAGGTTTTTGTGACCCAAAACATGGTTTATTTTTGTAAAGGTGCTAACGGCTGAAAAATATGTAAAATTCCTTAATGTTCCCATTCAGTAAACTCCAGAGAACTATCACCTCTAAGTTTTTAAAAGTTCTATTCAGACCTTTAACTTCGTTCTTATCTTTTTAATAGATTTGTCTTATATAACAGGAGACATGGACAGAAATGTTTAAATAGCACAGAACCAAGGTGAAATGTAAAATGCCTATTTAGCGGTCTACCAAATAGCATCATGGGGGTTGAGTGACAGATGGGATTTTCTTCAAACATGAAGGGAAGAATCAAGGGAATTAAGTTGTCTGAAGCAACTGTCCTGGTACATAATGATAGTGAAAATAATAATAATATATAATAGTAGGCACTCAATAAATGTTTATTGACTGACTGGGACTGCTATAGGCTCAGTTGTGTCTAGGGTTTTTTGGACTAGATTGATTTGGTCTTTCTCTTCTTGGGAGAAGTTGTAAAATATGAATCAACAACATATCTTTCTTATCCATCTCTGAACCCTCAAGCTTGGAATGTTTCCAACAATTATGGAAATCTCTATCTCCCCATGTACATTGCCACATACATCTCTCCCTTGCCCCAAACGCACACAAATCTGTACAAAAACAATGACCACATGGTCTTAGAGAAATTGACATCCTTTAGAATAAGGGGCAAAACAGAAAAATATTTAGCAAAAAAGGGATTGGTAAAGCAGATTTATTTGTCACTAGAGAAAATGATAGGATGGGTGGAAGAGGCGAAGGATAGAAGAATAGAATTCGCTGCATTGTATCTGTATAGCACAGTATACCTAGCACTTTACATTGGTCTGTCTGGCTGACACTCAACATTCATCACACACACTCAAACCGGTATCAGTCACAATGTCTTTCTCTGTAGCCTCCCTGTGATCTCAGAGCTGAGACTGCTTGGGTATAGAAGTTTCTCTCTGTCCTTCTTTGTCTGTCTCTGTCTCTCTTTGTCTGTCTCTGTCTCTGTCTCTCCTCTCACGCCATCTCCATTGCAATCTTGTGGAAGCTTCTCCTTGTAAAATCTTTGGCTCATCAAGCAGTTGCTCCTCAGATATGCTTGCTCACTTCTCTCTAGTCACTAAAATTCAGTTCTCCTTCTTCTTTAGGGGGAGGGGGAGGGAGATTGTCCTTTCAGACAAAGTCAGTCCCTTTTTATCTGCTGGAGTTAGAGTTCACTGTGGATTTCTGTTCTGACTCAAAGGCATTTGTCTTCAGCTTCCATTACAACTCCATGGCTAAGAAGTTGTTACATGTGCAAATTCAATAATACCAAGGTACTTCTTCATAGAACTAGACACAAGCCTGGTGAAATTTATGTGGAAAAACAAGAGGACCAAAATATCATGGGGGCACATTGAAGAGCAAAGCAGATAAAAGGCTTCTCGCACTCCCAGATTGTAAAACACATTACATCAAAACTACTAGCTTCTAGCCAAAAATTAAGGAAATAAATCAATGGAATAGAACAGAAGCATCAAAGAGCCAAGCAAATGTAATATAAAAGATTAGTGTTTAACAAAAAGAATTAAAAACTCTCCAGGGATCAGATGCAATTAAAACAACTCTGTGGCAGTACTGCCTTATACCCACCAAATTGTCAAAAGTAATTAAAAGCAATGAAACTCAGTACAAGTGGGATTGTGGGGAACAGGTGTGGTCTCTGGTGGAATTATAAATTTGTAGAATCTTTTTGGAAAGCAATCTGGTAGTACAATTTGTAAAATATACAAAAGTGAAAATAAAGTAAAATTTATAATAATGATCATGCTCTTTGACTTAAAAATTCTAGTATTGGAAATATACACTAAAGGTGTTATAAAAAAACAAACAAAAAAGAGATCTGTTCGATGATTTTCATATAGGTAATTGTAAAATACTAAAAGCAACATAAATATCTGCAATAAGTTAACAGTTTATTAAATCATAGCACAATAATGTAGTAGAATAACATAATGCAATTGACACACAAGTATGAGAATATCAATAAATCTAAAAAGCTCTTTATGAAATAATTCCGAAAAAAAGCAGAAATAGAAGGGAATAATTAACATCATGTAAGGAAAAGTGAATGAGAATGAGTGGGCAAATAATCTTTGTCACATAGAAAGTGAGTGAAATTATCCCCTTCTTTGACAGTAAGGTCAATGTGGGCAGGGACTTACCTAAACTTTGCATCTCCCATTTACTGTCTCCAGGCCAGTGCTTTGTACATAGTTGTGTTTAATACATTTTAAAAACTGAATTGTAGCTACCCTTCAAGAACTTTTGGATGTGAGAGATTCTACAGCTTTCCTTGGCAATCTATTTCATCACCCTTATTGATAATAAATCCTGCCTTATACCTAACCTAAATCTCGTTCTTCAATGAATCCATTGTCAGTCAACAAATATTTATGAAAAGCTTAATATTTGCCAGGCACTGTACTAAGCATTGGGGATATAAATACAAATAGAAAGAAAGATAATCCCTGCCTTTAAGAAGTTTACCTTCTAACGGGAAGCTGAAAAAGGTGGGAAGACCAAGGCATTTAGTGATGCAGGAAGGGTAGAAGTCTGAAGGTAGTTGAGAATAGGCTGGCCTGGGGGCTCTCCTTAAATAGGTATTCTTAGAGGAGCCCTCCAATCAGAAGAAAAGGCTTCAAGGGCAGAGGATACTTTCAATGTGTGTATTCCAGGGCTGGAGTAAGTCTTCAGAATGAAGAGCCTGGTCTTGGTAGAAGAGATCCTGAGTATATTCTAGAAAGGAATCAGGTTCAAATTCTTTTTTTTTTTTTTTGCTTTTTGGTGAAGCAATCGGGGTTAAGTGACTTGCCCAGGGTCACACAGCTAGTAAGTATCTGAGGCTGGATTTAAACTCAGGTCCTCCTGATTCCGGGACCTGAAGTCTATCTACAATGCTACCTAGCTGCTCCAATATGATCTAACTCTTTTAAATTTGAGATTGAATGAATCTCAAGCCCTAAATCATTAGAAAAGCTAGAGTCCATTGGGAATTCAAGGGATACCTCTGAGGCCAAAGGATTTGAGAAGTACTGGGAAGTCTTCCTTGACAAAAAAGATTTCTCCCATTGAAGTTTAAAATTCCTTCACCATAAATTTATGCATTGAGCTCTTTCCAGAGTCCTCTTTTAAAACACAAATACCCTTGGGAAATACAGCATGCATAGATCTTTTAATCTACTGATAATTGTATTTGAGAAACACTGGACACAGTTAATTAGATGATTCATATTTTTAAGAAACACATAATATGCATGTGTGGCCTTAATAGTATATTAAAATAAAATACTTATGTTAAATCTTCTCTTTATACTTACCAAGTTCTTCTGAGGTATACAAATTCTCCCATTTTATAGGCAGATATCCATGAATCCCCAGACCACCAGTCCTGCTTCCAGCCCACTCCTCATGCCATCACTTGGAGAAGCAGAGCCTGTAGAGATGAGGCTAGTCATTCCCATCACTGTCAAATGAGTGCCTCACATAGGACAGGTGAGACCCTAGATGGAGCAAGGGGGCACCCTGAGGGAGAGACACGAGGGAGCATGGGCCATGCAAGTCAAACCACCACCATCACCTTGCCCATCATCTCTTGTCAGACTCTAATGGAAACAGCCCAGGCTCCTGAACCCGAGAGCCTTGGGGACAGCAATGCTTCTAGCCCAACTGCCTTTAGCCATTATCCTGAGAAGCAGCTCTTACAAAGATGCAGCCTGGCAACTGTTCCTGCTGGGGCTATAGGTCCAGCTACTGAAAAGAAAGTTCTTGCCACCAAAGTCCTTTACATTCTTAAATAGTTCCACATTAAAAGCTTAGATGATTTTCAGTGGGAATAACATTAAAGAAGAAGCATTAATATCCATTTTGTCAATGTACTCTAAGGACTATGGGACTTTTCCATCTGACTTATAACTAAACCTTCAATGTGTATTGTCTCCCTTAATTAAAACATGAAGTACTTGAGAGCAGGGACCATCTTGCTTTTCTACTTATAGTGCTACCTCTTAGCTCCATGCTTTGTACACAGTAATTGCTTAATAAATGCTTCATTCATTCATGAAATGTATTTGTTCAGTCAATTGTTAATGTCTTTTGCCTTTTCAGACTACTCTGTATATATCTTGTATCCTCCTAGTAGAATGGAAACTCACTGAAGGCAGGGATTGTTCGGTTTTTGCCCATATCCACAGAACCTAGCCCAGTACCTAGAACATAACAGGCTCTTAATAAATTTTTGTTCAGTTGTATGAGTTAGCACAGCACCTGGTACATAGTAGGCACTTAATAAATGTTTATTGACTTAATTGCTTGCCTTTGGGAGATTAGACTGTTTACTAAGAGGAACAAGAGTCTGTTAAAAGGAAAGCATTTGACAAAATGAACTTAGAGGTCTTTGGTTTTAATTCATTCGTGAACTCCAAATCTTATATGACTGATTACCCATTGGGTTTCAGTTCAATTTAACAAGCATTCATTAAGTACTTACTGTATTTCAGGCACTGTACTAGGTAAATGTGGGAGATTCGAAGACAAAAATGAAATGGTCCTAATTTGGAAGGAGCTTACTTTTTTTTTTTTTGGTCTAGGCAATGGGGTTAAGTGACTTGCCCAGGGTCACACAGCTAGTGAGTGTTATATGTCTGAAGCTGGATTTGAACTCAGGTCTTCCTGAATCCAGGACCAGTACTCTATTCACTGTGCCACCTAGGTGCCCCCGGAAGGAGCTTATTTCAAGGGAGAAAGGTTGGGGAAGTGAAAAGAAACAGCCACACAAGGAAGTTAACACAAAATATATACCAAATCAATCTACAGTCATTTGTTGGAAGAGGGGGAGGAAGAGCATTAACAACTGGGGCAATCAGGAAAGTCATTCTGTGGGATCTAATACTTGAGCTAAGCCTTGAGAGGGAGCTAGGGACTCCAAGGGGTTGGGTAAACAAGAGGCAGATTCCAAGTCAGTCAAGAAACATTTATTAAGCACTTGCTGTGCTCCAGGCACTGTGCTCAGCACTGGGGATACAAAGAAAGGCAAAAGACAACCGCTGTCCTCAGGGTGCTCACAGCCTAATGCGGGAGACAGCATTCGAAAAGATATGTACAAACAAGCTACACACAAGATAAATGGGGAAATAATTACAGGGAAAGCATTGGAATTAAGAATAGTTGGTGAAAACTTCCAGTAAAAGATGAGATTTCAGTTGGTATTTGAAGGGAGCCAAGGAAATCAGAAGGTGGAACAGAGGACAGAGAGAGATTGAGGCATGGGAGAACAGAAAGGAAAATGCCTGGCACTAAGAGATGGAGTATCTTATTCTTGGAACAGACAGGAATCCAATGTTCCTGGATGGAAGAACCTAAGTTGGGGAGGAAGTTGTAAGAAGACTGGAAGGGTCAGAGGGCTCTAGGTTATGAAGGGATTTGAATGCCAAACAGAGCATTTTATCTTTGATCGTAGAGGTAATAGGCAGTCAATGGAGTTTATTGAGAGGTGGAGTCATGGGGGGGGTAAGGTAATGTGACAATAGGAGCCAGTGAAATGAGAGATTGAAAACTAGTGAAAGAAAAGAAATGATCAGAGAAGCAAGCTCCCAGTAGAGATGGGAGGGTGTCTCACAATGGTGTGAGAGGCTGGAATTGGTGAGAAGAGCAACCTCTTTCTCAGAGAGCAGAGCAAAAGAGGAGAGAATTGGAGAAGGGGCATGTAATATTGAGGAGACTGGGGGTGGAACTGGGGAAAAGAGGGAGCTCACAATGGATGATCTCTATATTCTCAGGAAAGTATGAATGAAGTGAGAAAGTGATAGAAGGGATGGTATAGGACAGTGATGAAGAGAGGAGAAAAGCTTTGGAATAGATACATTGTGGGAGGTATAAATGGGATTCAGGAAAGGGTAAAAGGATTGAAAGACAGCAATGAATATAGCTGTCTGACTTCTTCCAGTAGCAGTCAACAAGACATGAAGAAGAGAAATGAAACGAGATGGTAGGTGGCAATGTAAAATTGGGCTTTAGAAAGAAATTAAACTATGAGAAGGTGTGGGGGCAAGGTCGTAAAGGGTAGACAAAAGCATAAAATTAAACATGAAACGATTGTAAAGAGAGGCAATGAAGCAAGAGCAGGGGTGATGGACTGTGAAAGCAGGGAAGGCTGGAATGACTGGTGGCTGCCAGGAGGATGAAAACTAAATTTAGGAAGGATAAGGCATAGGGCTAGGTGGAAGGAGAGAAGGGTCATGGTTAGAGGAATTTTAGATTTTAGATGAGAGGCAGAGACAGACAGAGACAGAAAGAGAGACAGAGAGAGAGCATTTAAATACTTGCTATGTTCCAGGTACCACGTGAAGTACTGGGAATGAAAATACAAGCAAGTAACACAGTCCTTGCCTTCAGGGAGCTTACGTTGGGCACATAAGGAGTGCTGAAAGTGGGGGTGGGAAGGTACCTGTGAGTGGGTTGGGCCGGGGGGAAGTGGCCAGAAGATTGTGAAGTGTGTCCTGTTATGCAGGCCTGGGCCCCAAGATGAAGTAAAAAGCTTACTTACCTGTCAGAAAAAGCTTACTTACCTGTTACCTCGGGGAGCCATGGGTCAAATCCTTGTTTGTGGCTAAGATGGAGTGAAGGAGAAGGTCATGGGAGTTCAGAAAACTAATGAACTAGAAAGCCAGGGTATTTGAAAGTACAATGACAAGTATATTGAAGTCTCCAAAAGAAAAAGAAAAAGGGGTTGAGGTGGAAAGGAAGGAACAAGTCAGGAAAAGGAATTCATAAAGCTCCAGCTAACCTTTCCCTCTTTTTAATAAATACTCATTTGAAAAACAATTGATAATGACCACCAAATTAAACAGATTTTATAATTTAATGTGGTGGAAAGAACATTAAATTTGAAGTCAGAAGACCTGAGTTCAAATCTTGGTTCTGTTACTTATTGTGTGAATTTTGTGCAAGTCACTTCACCCTTTGGGTACTCCATTTGTAAAATGAAGGGGTTGGAAGAGATGAACCTTAAGTCTTTTCCAGATGTAAATCTATGATCATGAGTTGTGTGTTTAGTGGGAGGTCCAGGAGAAGTTAGGCCAGTTATCATTCAATGATGAGAACTTATTTGCATTCCAAATTCTAAATATGGGTTATTAAAATGAGATTACAAGTTAAATCCCATCTCTGAATGTATTTATTCATTGTTTTCCAATATAGCTCCTGTGTTAATACACCTCTTGTCCCAAATTACTTTTCTCAGGAACAGAATACTGTATAAGGAAGTGTTTTTAAAAACTCATTTTATACTAGAAAAAGAAATGTCACATCATTTCAAAAGCAACCTATAAATGGGATTGACTAGATTCTACCAGAATCCCCAGTAGACCTAAGTGACTCTATTAACAAAGGTGGAAAGAAGACTATGGTAGTTGAAAACATAATTCATTTCCTACACCTAATTTTTTCCTCTTGCATCCTGCTGGTATACAGTGAGTGAAATTAGACAGCACATCTGAAAGCCCGGAATATAATCAAAGATGATGAGGTGCTAATGTGTTAACAGGGTGTTAGAACCCAGTGCTCCTTTTTTGAATAAATGAATAAAGCATTTATTAAGCACTAACTATGTTCAAAGCACTCTGCTAAGAACTGGGAATACAAATAGAAAAGTATGAAAGGCCCCATTCACTTTCTAGTGGGGGAGACAGCACACATGGAAGGTTTGAGCTTAAATTCAGATGGAAAGCTCTTGTGGTCCATTGGGTACAGTGGGGCAAAGCAAATGGTAATGCTTTCTCTTTGATGTCATTTCCGCTGATGAAATGATATCATTTTCTGATGTTGAACTATTCAATACAGCCAATGGCAAGAACTTTCTTTTCTGGCTGTTCAGTAGCTGTGGCTATAGGACTAGCAGGAATAGTTGCCATCTTCCCAGTATGATAGGTGAGGGCAGTGGGCTAGAAGAATTGCTATTTTAAAGACACTTGGGTTCAGGGGCCTGAGATGTCATCTGAGGGGAGATGGTGGTAGTTTAACTTGCCTGGCACATTCTGCTTCCTGTCTCTCCCTCAAGGTGCCTAGATGCTTCAGTTGCAATGTCTTATGTTGTGAGCAGCAATTGGTCAGTAATTCACAGGGATGGCTGGCCCCTTTGTGAAGTACTACTACCTTGAATGGAAAGGGCAATCCCATTGGCTTATGGAAAAGGGCTATCTTTGTCCTCTTCCTCTCTCCCCCGGGATGATCTTTGAAAGACCAAGAGTGAAGGAAGCACAGTTTGGTTTAGGAGCCAGAAGTGGAGAGAAAATCTAGCCCCTGAGAGGAGATAAATGTTGGCAAGAGAGGGAGGGTTCTTCTCCCTCTGCTTCCATCAAGCATGGCATGTCACAGCTGACTCAAATGGAGAGACCCCATCAAAAGTTGAAAGTAAATCTGAAAGAATTTGAAGCATAGTTGAGGGAT